AATTAAGGTGGGTTGACTCAAAGATGTGATTTATGTTTATATCAGTAAGATCATAAAAAATTTTCATATTGATATATAAAAAATTACAAATCCAAATCATAAATAGTGTCCTCAAAGGAAATTAGGTACAAAATTTCTATAACCTTAATAATTTCAGTTCTCAAAGGGGTTCTGATTAATTATGTGATACATCATAACAACCACAAAATTTTTATTCCAAGCAAATTATTTTTGCATATTTTTTTCTGGTAGAGCTCATAAAGGTCCATTATTATTAGTAATACTCTAAATTCAAAATTTTATTTAAAAAATTATACAAGAAACATTAATAAATGTCTTAAATATACACAATTATTTTCGATAAATTATTATTCTTTAAAATAATACGCCACACTATTTATCATTTGACATTTGTCAATTTATCTTCCAAAAACTTAACAAAAAAAATTGAGTTCCATTATTTTAATCAATCAATATCAAATTGAACGTTGCACGGATATGTAAATCACTTTTAAAAATATGATAACAGACATAAAGTTACAATAGAGTTAATTTTAATTAATGTAATGATATTTTGTATCATAATATGTGTTACAAAAAAATAATATTAATTTTAATTTAAAATAAAATTTAAATTTAAATTATTTATTTTAATAATCTTAATCTTATCGTTCTATAAAAGTGTTAGTTGAATATTTATATATAATATAATAAATTTGATACTTATATAATATAATAACCTTATTGTTCTATTGTGTTATGAAAATGTAATTATCATATAATGATTTTATATGATATATATTAAATTATAAGATAACAAAATAAACACTCATTTTGATATTAAAAATAATAATTAAATTAGAAATAGAATTAGTAATATAAAACTAAAAGCGATTTTAATTATTTATTTTTATTTTTATTTGGAAAATAAAAATATATAGAAATAGAATTACACAAAATTTATTTAAAAGAATAAATATAAATATGTTGTAATTAGATTAAGAAGAAAATAAATAAATTAAATATGTAGAGTTTTAATTTTTTCTTTAATATTATTTTTGAATTATTCATATAAATTGTATATAGGTATATAAAATTTAAATTAAATATAAATATTTTGTAATAAATAATTTCATGTTAAATAAAAAATTAAATATAATTACTATCAAGATATCAATAAGATAGACAAAAAATATAAATATAAAATAAAAATAATTTGATCCGTGCAATGCACATAATTAAGCACATTCTATTTTATTTATTTATATATCGAGATAATTTTTTTCAAATATCATAATAATTAAATTAAAATATCAACTATATAGAAGAAATCTAACAACGGCAAAACTAAAAAATATATGAAAAATAAGTATTTATCAAATAGAATCCATATAAAATTGATTATTATAATTAAAATTGAGTTTGTGTAGAACTTTGTAGGTAAATGAAAAAGGCATGTTGATGTGGTTTTTTCAGAAAAAAAGTAAGCCTTTAAAAAAAAAAAAAAAGAAAAAAAAGAGCAAGCCTTTAGAATGTAGGAAAAATTACTCATAAATCCTATTTTGATAAATGTTGCTCTAGTTAGTCCTGGGTGTTTTTTCTTAAACTATTTAGTCATTTTTATTTTTGGTATGATATATGTTTTTGATATATTGTATATGGAGTTTACATTTTTACCCATATTGGTTTCGTTTTGCAGGTCTCCCAATCTCTCCAACAATGGCAGCCCCTCCGGTAGAGTCTGTCCAGTGCTTCTCCTCCTCGGCTGCCAACGCTTCGCCTAATGAGATCTGGAAGAGAGAGTTAAATGGGCTTTTTCTCCCCAAACAACAACTCGAGGCCTTTCTCCTTAACCATTAGTCCCATAAACAAGCTCTCTCTCTCTCTCTTTCTCTTTGGATTGAGGACTTGCTATTGTTCCTGTGTCCTTATCTCTGCAACCAACACCAATCGTATCATACAAAGAGAACAAACAAAGAAAAGAAAAACTGTTCGATGTCAGTTTCTTTGACGACGGTGGTTGCTTCGAGATCCTCCTGGGCTCATGCCATGCTTCAGATCTCACCTTACACCTTCTACGCTCTCGGCATCGCCATCGCCATCGTCATCGGCGTCTCCGTTCTTGACGCTGCTTGGTACATATATATATATATATATATGAATTTGTATATATGTATCTTTGGAATTTGGGTTTGATTTCTGAGGCCTTGATGTGTTTTTTTGATGTTGTGTTCAGGGGGATTTACATAACAGGCAGTAGTTTGATCGGTGCAGCAATCAAAGCTCCACGAATCACTTTGAAGAATCTCATTAGGTAAAAACCCTAGGCGTTCTGATGTTCACGATGTTGATGATGTTGCTGTTGTTCACGATGTTGTTCACAATGTTCTGATGCTGCTGTTGTTCACGATGATGTTGCTGTTGTTCACGATGATGTTCACGATGTAAAAACCCTAGGCATTCTGATGATGTTGCTGATGTTTTGATGATGTTGATAATGTAGTTGATGTTGATAATGTTTGATGATGTTCACGATGTTGTTGTTTGAAGATGTTGCTGATGTTTTAATGATGTTCATAATGTAGTTGATATTGATGATGTTTGATGATGTTCACGATGTTGATGATGTAGTTGATGTTTTTTAAGTGATGTTTGCGATGTAGTTGATGTTGTTGATGGTGATGATATAGTTGATGTTGCTGATGTTCAGAAATGAGGGAAATCTAAAAAAGGCCTATAGTAAGCTTCTTGGACAATTCGGTAAATTACACATAAACACCAACCCAAAATTACCCCCTCAATTACTGACCCAGACGCGTAAAAAAATGGTTAGGTCTTTACACATAAAATAGGACCTAGTCCAACAAAAAAACGTCGGGACTAAATGGGTTAACATTCTCAAATTAGGGATTTAATGGTGCTTTCTTAGAATGTACCACCTAAATAAGAGAAAAATACTACTTTTATTAATATATATATATATGTAATATATGATACTTCTATATCAAACCATAATGGATGGTGTATTACAAGAAAAACATTTTTCACAATGAAAATAGTTGTCGCCAAAAAAATTGGCAATATGAAGATCTTATTTCATCGAGAAAAGTAATTTTTTTGGCATCACGAAAAGTTATCACAAAAATTATATTTTGTTGTAAATTGTGTAATAAATTACAACAAAATATAGTAAATTATAATATATGTAATTTTTATCAAAAAATTAATTGGTCAAAAGTATAATATAAATGTTGAAAATATTAAGGTAATGTTTACAAATTATTATTATTTTATTTTTAAATATGGTAAAAATTATATTTATTTTTAATAAAATAAAAAAATATACATTTAGTACACGTGTTTCCAAAACTTGTTAGAAAAGATAATTGGAGGTGATAACCGTGGGAGATAACAATCGAAAGTGATTATTGATTGTTAGAGGTGGTGATTGGTGAAAGATGGTGGCTGATGGTTGTCGATAGCCAGAGTCGATTATTGGCGGCCAATGACAATTAGAGGTGGTCATCAATAGGAGATGTCAACAACAATGACTAGAAGAGGTTGTTGCTAATGGTGGCTAAAGACTAGAGTGACCGTATGTGATGGCCGGCGATGGGTGATGGTTGATGGAAGGGTGGAAAAAGGAATCAATGAAAACTAGTTCAGAACAAATGAAAGTTGTTTTTTTGGTAACAATTATATTTGTAAATTTTGTAAACTATTCATAATTTTTAATAAACAAAAATAAACAACAAACAAATTTTTACTTACATGCTCATGAATATAATGAGATTGATAATTTAGTCCATAGATCTTGTAGTGTGTCAAACGTTAAGGGCCCATTTAGCCTATTTTGAGAAATGGATTAAAAGTCACTGCTCAGTTTTTAAATCACTTTTATCTCTTACAAAAACGTCAAAAAAAAAGTCAAAAAACAATTTATAATTATAGTTTACTTTTCGTGCTCCTTTCGGATACGACTAGTCCTACAGTTTGGATTTCTGTGGTTTTAAATCTGATTTCACAAGTGCAATGTGAAATAGTGAAAACACAAAAAGAATTCAAATCCGACAATTCTTTTTGGAAAATCAATGTTTGAATCAAATGTCAAATATGGACTGTTTTGTCAGATTACAGAGTCGTCACCTAAATATTTTTGAAAAATTTAGGAAATCTGAGATTCGTGCCAAAGGTCATTAGTCCATCATCACCAAAGTATCTTGGCTCGAAAATTTAGGTACGAGAGGGGAAGGTCATGAATTGAACACCCCACTCGCCCGATCAAAGATCGGCCTCTACTAATCATGATGTGTTTTTTATTTACATTATATGCTCTTATTCCGGTTTTATTATACTAACATTACTATGCGACAAATATAAGTATAGACTAATTTGCAAAGATTGGAACATTTTGATTTCATGTTTGTTTGAAAATTGTTTTTAATACTCGTCACTTGAAAATGTGAGTTTGTATGTACATTAATTAACTTATCCCAATTTTGGTAATTAGCCTCCATCTACTAGCATTCAAACAAGTATATCATTTAAGCAATTAGTCTCGTGGAAATATACTTGACATGGCAACAAACATTCGATACAAGATGCTAAAACTCAAAATTGCTCGCCTAGTACTTTGAGCCAAAACAAAGAAAAATAATTAGTAAATATGCATACCCTTAACTAATGCAATATGACTAAATGCAACGCACACGTTATGTAATTTTAATAAGCTCCGCTATGAATATGGCATATGATTCCATTCAAGACATGTGATGAATCACGTATTCAAGCAATGAATTTAAATATTTGGTTAGTATGATGTGTTGAACCTTGGATGCATGCAAGACAATGGATGCAAAGCATAAAGATGCTAATTTAAAAAATGATGTTCTATACGAACCATTGTAAACAAATAAGTAAAAAGGAGAAAGACGTGAGATTAGAAGACATATAACTTATTACATATTTGCCCCTGTGCAAGAGGGTGCGAATTAGTGTCCAAGAGCCCGACTTTAAACTAATTATTACAAAAGTGAATGAATAACTAACTAACTAGCTAAGCTATAATTAACTAACTAGCTAATTTAATACAACAAAATAAGCTAACTATCTAACGAAACATTGTTACAACAATATTAATTACAATGCTAATAATTACAACAATATTGAAATCATTAATTTTCAATTTACAATAGAAGCACAAGGATGGCATGCTCGTAGTGGTTTTAGATGTAATTTTGTCTGCCTTCCTTGGAATCTGTCTGCCGGGCCCAAATAAGGCCAGCCGTGCCTTAATTTTATGCAAAATCCTGTTTTTGTGCTCTGAAGTGAAAATAGTGCAGACAGAGTTATTCTGAACTCTGTTTGTCCCTTCTCCTCTTCTCTCTCACGGTAAGCCTTAAGAGAAGAACAAAGTTATTTCCAAAACCATCAATGAGCAAATTGATTATTTGATGAATTAGGGCATGATTTTGGATAAAAATTAATGAATACAATGAATCAATAACTACCCCTCCCTCTTATCACGGAGTAAGCTTAAAAAGAGAGGTAGGAACGCTTCAAGGCTCATCGAAACATCATGAATTGATGTAAGATAACCATTGACACAATAGACTTGGCGTAACGTCCGGCTGAATTCAAGCAATATAACTCTTTTTCTTTATGTGGGTTGGTTCATTTTAGCAATTTTTAGATCTCTCCATTCTTTAGTCCATTAAGTCCAAAGTGATGATTATGTCCACTAAATGAGAAACGCGTCAAACTGGAAGTGATTCTCAATATAAAAGAGAGACTATGTCGTTGGCAATGAACCTCCGTAGAGATTAAACCATTAAACATGGATCTCTAGCTCATGTTTTGAACAATCATCAACCGGTTGAGAAAACTCTCAAATGAAAGAAATGAATGGTAAGTTGATTATTAAAATGAGGTTATTAAACATGGAAATTAAACAAAGAAAGGCCAAGAATAACATACAACAAGCTATATATGCAAACATATGAGACAACAAGCGAACTAATGAAAACATGAACTAATTAAACAACCTAGGACAGCCCCTAATGGGTGAAAAACAATGGCTCAAAGTGCATGAAAAAAGCCCAAAAAACTAAACAATAAACAAAGAAAATAAGGCTAGTAAGCAAGAATAAGGAAGGATGGCTAACCATTCCACTTTCGAAACCTCAAAGTATGATTTTTAGCCTCTTTTAAACTCTAAAAATCAATTTAAAAAGCGAAGAAAAAGGTGTAAAGACAAGGGTTTGAACTATAGGTGAATGTGTAAGAAAGAGTGCCGCCGCCACCACCATCCTCTTATAAGCTAGATTAGCTATCCAAACCCAAGCTTAGACACTTGAAAGAGAATCAAAATAATACAAAAATACAAGAACTAGATAGCAAAGATAGCAAGAGAAGAGATTGTAAGCTTATACCTTTCAAGAAAGGTAAGATATTTGTTTGTGAATCAAACTTGGTACAAACACACTCTCAAGTTTGAATTGTGCTGCTCAAGGCTCAACCAAGGTTTCAAGGCTAAGGTGTGAAGGTGTATATAGTGTATGGATATAGGTTAAAGGTGACAAGCTTGCTCAAAGGTTGCTTGCACAAGAAGAAAGAGCTCTCAAGAAAGTATACAAGCTTTTTAGAATTTGTTCAATCCTCAAAACAGAGATACAACCTCATTTTTATAGAATTTGAGCAAAAATGGTTATAAATATCTTCAAAAATGAACAGATGGCGGGCTCTTGCCTAGAATAGTGTTTCTCGCTACCAAGACACGGCCGACCATAAATGGCCACAACCAGCTCCCAATGAGGCACGACTGGGCCTCAATGTGATCCCCTGTTTCTCTGCTTCAGACTCAGCGTAGGGTGACACAATGTGTAAAAATGAATTTCTGAGGTACAAACAGTGTGAATATGGAAGGTTTAAGATTGTTTCAATGCTTAAACATAGCTCCTTTGTTGAGACCTGAAACCACGCACAACACCACTTTCATCATCAAGTGTACCGGGCAAAATGTTTTTGCGGGCGGTCAAAAACGAAGTGTCTACAATAATTATCTTCCTAAAACACCCCTTAGTTTGTGTTTTGTTTGTTATTGTGTTTGTTTTAAAAATTTAAAAAGACACATGAAAAATCTTGTTTGACACATGTTTTTGTTTATATTTTTTGAAAACATATACAATTCACAATTTTTGGAAAAAGATATAAACAATTTTTTTTTATTTCATATTTTTATCGCATTATGTTTACCATATTTTTTTATCACTTACTTAGCAAACCAACAATTGTTGGATTATATAAAATTTATTACACTAACTATTAGTAGATATTCTTTAAAAAATATAAAATAACAAATAATGTAAGGGGAAAAGAAGACAAAATGCAAATATTGTTACCATAAATATAAAGTAGGGGACATGTACACCATATAGTCCAAATATGTGGTATAGGAATCTGTATTGACAACCACAGCCCTAGCTAGTAATGGTAATACGGGCCTCCCATTATAAATACTTACCATAGCTTATAATAATAATAATAATAATAATAGGATTGAACAAGCATTTATTCTTGTGTACAAAATAATATAGCTGTAAAGTATAGTACAAAAGAGCAAGCCATTTGTATTATTATTTTTTTCACCATACTTAATTATTGAGTATCTTTCTTCCTCATTTCATTTCAAAAAGTTGCTTTCTTCCTCAATTCTATTTTTACTTTTGTGGACTTTTCTATGTTGAAGGGTAGATGTGAGTGTGCATGTACCCCATTTTTAAGTTATCCCACACGAGAATTATTTGAGTCAATTTTAAAGTAGCAATTCTTGGCCTAATTCAAAATCAATTTTATAAAATTCTGATTTCGTCTCAGATTGTATTGAGTTCGGTAAGAAAAGAGAACAATTCTGAAGTCAAACAAATTATATATATATATATATATATTTTGGATCAATCCCTTCAATTCTGTCTTTTTTAATTAAAATACCAATTGAACCCCAAAACAAAAATAAGAGTTTGTTTGGGCAAACTTTGAGCTTCACATGCAACCTTTAAAGATTAATAATATAGGTTTATACACACACATTTATAGAGATGCATATACATATATAGGTGCCATCCTATGAACTTGATTTGAATGGCACTCTACCTAGCAAAGCACTTAGAACAATTGTGTTCAACCTCTCTTGCCTTGAGGATTTTTTTTTTTTTTTTTTTTTGGGTGGGGGGGGGGGGGGGGGGTATATTTTGTTAGAATATTAATCTTATTAGAATATTAATATTAATTACCTGAAGAAAAAAAAAAGAACAATTTTGCTTCCTCAGCGTCCCAAACATAGTGCAGTTTTAACATCAAGCCTCCATGCAAACCCTCCAAAATCCATCTTCCATACATCACAAGGCACAGTCTGTGAGTACTTCTCATTCCGCCACGTGTACTGCGTTCGTACTCTACATGCAAATGCCGGGTACGATATCGGCAACTCCACCTTCGCCACCAATCTCACCACCGTCTCCGGTGGCGATCCACCGTCTTCCTCCGCCGCCGCCGCCACCACCATCCTCTTATAAGCTAGATTTATCCACTGTACCTTATTCCCAACGTCTGATATGAATCCCGGACACGTGTCAGCCTCTAGATTCTTGACTCTCTCCACGTCCGTTGCCCCTAACCCACCTCCATCCATGCAAGCGTCCGTCACACATTCCAAAATCACCCACGACTCTGCCACTCTCTTCGGTGGCCCCACCGCCGTCAGATCTGAATTTTCCGGCCTATTATCGAAGTTCAGCCATATGGGTTGTTTTTGAATCGCCGGAAAATCAAGACTGCCGCAAGAAACTCCTGCCGGCGAGTCTTTCCGGCAGCAAATCTGAGGGAGTAGCTGTTGCGTCGTGACCGTCCGATCAGACCCATCTTTTCCTCTTTCGACTTTGCTTTTCTTACACCTTCTATTCCTGTTATTCTTGACATATTTTCTTTTAGGTCTTGCTTTTGTTGTGATGCTCTTGTTCTCCGGCGGAGACTCGCCGGACCCAGATCCTCCGGTGGCCGGTTTAGGGGCTATAGGCCGGAATCTGAGCATTATCCGATCTAGTATTGTTCTGTCGTTAACGCCGCTGGTCCAGCGCCTGGCGACGCAGCTTCTTCCGCCGTCCATCTCTCTCTTACACCTCTCTTTCTCTCTCTAGGTTGAGAGATTACCCCCCCTCTCTCTCTCTCTCTCTTTTTCTCTCTCTATTCTTTCTTTGCCTCAGTGATTTTCCGGAGAGCTTCAACCGATAATCATAGCGACAGTACGGTGGGCAGGTAAGGATACACCACGTGTCTAGGGCAACTGTGGAACACGAGTAATTATCTGTTTTTTTGAGAATTTAATATTCCCTGTATGCCCGGCCAATAGTAACGAGAGGCTTGCTTTGGCCACTTAAGCCTTGAAACAGAGTATTTTAGGGTTGGTTTGGGAAGTGGGTTGGCTTTTTAGCTTTTTGGCTTTTTTGACTATTTTAGCCTGGGCTAAAAAGCTTGGTTTGGGAAGGGCTTTTTGGATTTTTGGCTTTTTTAACTTTTTTTGTGAGAGAAGAGTGTAATGATTATGGGTTGGATGTGATGTTTTGTTTTTCGTGTCTAGGGCAACTGTGGAACACGAGTAATTATCTGTTTTTTTGAGAATTTAATATTCCCTGTATGCCCGGCCAATAGTAACGAGAGGCTTGCTTTGGCCACTTAAGCCTTGGAACAGAGTATTTTAGTAAGTTTTTGATTTTTTTAATTAAAATATAAGGTACAAAATTTAATATTTTAGAATGATTTTTTATAAAAAAAAATGTGTAAAAAATAGAAAAAAAAGAAATTTTTTGACTTTTTAGTATAAGTTATAAATTTTTTAACTTTTTTAATAATTTTTTGACTAAAATGTTAATTTGTCAAACGAGTCCTAAGTTAAAAATAGTTTTTTAATTTTTTTAAGTTATGTTATCTCCTTATTTTTTTACATATTTTTTAAAAAAATTAAAAAAATAATTTTTAACTTACTTTTCAAAACAAGCTTAAAGAAGAGTTTCAAAATTAATTTTTTAGTGGTGGAGAAATTACAAAAATGTTTGAAAATGTTTAGTATAATTTATCACAAGTTACATTTTGTTTTATTTATTTAATTTAATAGAAATAATTTAAATAAATTAATCATTCTTAAAAATTGAAGGATTATTTTTTAATTTTTTTTTTTCTGTTTTTATTTATTTGTCCACTATAAAAAATTTAAGTAGATATGCCATCATTACATTTGAATTCAAATTTTAAATTATATTTTTCACCATCATCATTCTTTTTGAATTTGAAAATGTAATTTTATAAATATAATAAAATTTAATAATGAATAAATATTCTAAGACGAATTAAATTAAAATAAACCTATAAACAAATAAAATGAGACGGAGGCAATGCTATGAATTTATAACAAAGTTACAGTAAAAATATGATGATTATGGGAGAGTTACAGGGTTACTTGCGTGTTTGAAAAATAGTGGATAATTTTGTGGTGAAACAGTGAAGGAGAGTGATTGGATAGGACAGATGAGGTGGGAGCCAGAATAAAGCAGCGTATCCAACGAATTTGGGGGACGTGATTGGTGGGGATGCTAGGGCCAATGAAGAGGTAGACACGTATCCAGCACTCCGCAAAAAGACGGGACACGTATGTGCCTCGAGCGAAGTGATGTTAAGTGAAAGTGGGCAAAACTCCTTTTCTTCGGACGTTCCAGAAACTGGACGCGTGGCCTCGAGTTTTAGCAGCAGTTGAGATACTCAGTTCTATATCCTTTCACGCGCTTTCATTTTCGTCATTTTACTTTTTACCAAAAAATAATTTAAAAATAAAAAGAGTCCCGTGATAATTTATAATAATTTTTTAATTAAACTATACTGTCTCCAAATGAGTTAGGCCAAGTGTACTCCTATCAGCCTAACTATTATAGATTTTGGGTTATATTATCAAGGCAATTTTCAAAATTAATCTTTTATCACTCCCGTTATATTAAAATTAAATTTAATATTATCAGAGTGAATCGCTATATATATGTTATATAATATTTTATTATACTGACCAAACATCTTACCAAATGACGAATTGTTATTTCATATTTTTTTTAAATATGAAATATAATATTTACTGAATATTTTACTAGTCATCCGATCGAATATCTTGTTCGATAATTAGCTGCTACACCATCACACTTGTTTTGAATAGAATGTGAAATTATATATATATAGAGAGAGGTGATAACAGTACAAATCCTATACATTATATGGATGTTCGGCCAGACAATTGTTGCTGGAACAAATATATATTTTTTCACGAATATGATTATGCAAATGTGGTTGCATTTTAACAATATAAAATGAATATTTTATAAAATTTGATTTTAGAATAAAGAGTCAGATGTAGTGTATAAAAAATGCTATCAGATAGAGTTTGATATTCTCTTATTCGACAGTCGTTTGAATTTAGGAAGATTAGACAAAATTTAATTTCTATCCAACTGCTTAGCTATCGAATGCTGAATTGAGCGAGCCATCTATGTTGACAGATGAATGCAAAAGTGATTTGGAGTTTAAGTTAAAAAGTCAATGCCAAACCGCAATTTTTAAGTTCTGTTTTACAAAATTAATTTAAGTTTTTTTTAAAATTATTTTGGATCTTATTTGAGCTCAAAAATTGTAATTATTAACAAAAATAAAGACTTAATTTTTATATTTCAATAATTAATATTACTAAATAAAATGCTCATTGTCTAACACATAAAAATATAAAAGTATAATATCATTTTTATAGGATTGTTAGCTGATTGAGTTGTGTCGGGTAAATATTTGCCCAGACTTAAGTCCTGTTTAGGGCAACAAACAAGCCGAATTGAGCCGAGTCGAGTTTTGCTGAACTCAAGCTCGGCTCATTTGCTTATCAAGGCCATTTATTGAGCTCGAGTTTGACTCGATAACTAATTAGGCTCGAACTTGACTTGGTTCAGCTTGATAAGATTTTTTAAAAATATTATTTGTATTATTTAAATAAAAAAATTATTTGTATTACTTAACATATAAAATAATATATTTATTATACAATTTAAATAAAGATAAACGACTAAAGAAGCCGAGTCCTTAACGAGCTATTTTGTTTATGAATAACTTAGTTCATTTGCAGTCCTAATCCTTGTTTAGAAATTTACTATTTTAATTAGTTTTTTAATTTATTTTTATAAAAAATTGTGTAAAAAATTAAAAAAATAATAATGTAACAATTTATGATAATTTTTTGACTTTATAACTACAAATTTAAGTATCCAAATGGGGTTTTAATCTAAGAGATTTCTCTTCCGTCTATTGTGTGAATTAGAGCCTACTGTTAGGTTCATGGGGTTCACCACGGGTTCCATTTTGATAATTCGTCTATTTAATGTGTAGAACTTGTCGAGTACTTCATGCCTATAAAAAATCATGTTGATTAAATATCGATAGCCCTTGATTGGAACACATTTTTACCAATGGTAAATATGATTTTAAAAATAAATTATTATCAAAAATATGTTCCGATCAATAGACTACTGATATTCAATCAACGTGATTTTTCTAAACATAAACTATTGAACGAACTCTACATATTGAATAATTTAAATTATCAAAAAGAATCCTATAATAAATCTCATAAATTTAACAATATATTCCAATTGACGCAATAAATTGGAGAGACCCTTCCCTTAATTTAAGGGCAAATTACATATACACCCCTCGAGGTTTGGTTAAATTACAGATACCCCCCTGAGGTTTCGGAAATTACATCCCGCTCCCTGAGGTTTGTATTTTCATAACAATTTACCCCCTGAGGTTTATATTTCATAACAAATTACCCCCTAATTTCTTATGCAAATATAGCATTCAGGGGGGAATTCGTAATTTCTCAAACCTCAGGGGGGTATTTGTAATTTAGCCAAACCTCGAGGGGTGTATATGTAATTTGCCCTTAATTTAAATATGAAGTTTTAGGTTTTTCCACGTAGTGAGTGTGAGCGTGGGAGACTGAACTATGTTTAGGTTGATATGTTTTTGTTGAAGCCGGAGGATGAGTGCCGCGTGGATGGTCCGATGAGGTATATGGGGCGCTGGGACGGTTTTCGTTGACGTCATCGTGAAGGGGAATAGACAAATTGACATTGATTGGTATATGAGAAAAGAAACAATTACAAACACTCTTGCAACCCCAAAAAAGGCAAACTAAAAAGAAAAGAAAATAATAATAACAAATACTAATAAATAAAAAGCAATACCATGATGACCATGATGATATACATAAAGAAATACTTTAACAAATTTGAAAAATAAGGTTCTGTTTGGGAAGAAAAAAGTCAGGTTTTTTTGGTTAAAATAGTTACAAAAAACAAAATAGGTTATTTTAGTCACAAAAAATAAAACATTTTGTCCAACCCACAATCATTACAATCATCTCTCACAAAAAAAGTCAAAAAAGCCAAAAAGTCAAAAAATCCTTCCAAAACTAAGCTAAAATAGCCAAAAAGTCAAAAAATCAAAAAGTCAACCCACTTCCCAAACGCAGGCTAAGCTATAAACAAAAATTTTACAATTTCAAGTAAATTACAATTATCTCCCTTTAAATTTGAAAAAAATACAATAAATTTTATTGTTTTAATATTATTATATTGAGTTTTTTTTTTTAATGAAGAGACTAAAATTAATATAGATAATATAAAAATACAAAGACAAATAAGGTAAAAATGATAATATCAGTTTTTTTTATTCCTATGACTAAAAAGAAACTAAAAGATAAATAACAAAATTATGATAAAAATAAATTATATAAATTAAAATCTTAATAAAGTCAAATGTAATTATGTCAAATTTGTGATAATATTTAATTAAAATGGACTTGAGATGCGGATTATATCATGTAATACAATATTAACTCATCAAATAATAAATAAAATATAATTACAAAATGTGATTGTTCTAATTTTGTTGAATAAAATGAAAGAACAAACCTCCAATGGGAAATATTTCAATTTAATAATAAAAGGTATAATAGTAATAAATCAAACTAAATCAAATTAAATCAAGTTTTAAATCCCATCAAATGAGATCGGCTAAAAAGTATAATACTAATCTATTCAAAAAATAAGAGTTTAAAAAGTGATCATTTATAATTTTATTGTTTGAAGGATACAATGTTATAAGCCCAATAAATTATTCATTCTTTAATTGAATTAATTTGATTGGTGAAGAATATGATTCTAAATTTTATTGGCTAAGCATTCCAAGCTCCAAATATGGTCAGGTGGAATCTATAATTATTAATCTTAGGACTTTGAAATTTACTTGTTTATTGGTAGAGA